ATGTGGGTAAAAGAATTCTCACTCATTTGCAGTTGTACAATTTCTCTCTGCAAAAATGAAAACGATTTTTGATATCACTCTTGTGTATTCTATTCTGGTATAGACTTTTAAAAATCGAATATAATACAAAATCAACATTTAACTAAAATTCATTAACATTAATATTCATTGATACAATATATACATTTTTATACAATGATATCTTGTATAAATTATAAAAATCATTGTGACCTACCGAATTAGACTATTTATCCCTATTTGTGACATTTTTACATATATATTGTTGTTTGTTTTGTTCACACATCGTTGTCAATATAATGGAATTTGATGCGACTGTCATACAAGTGAGAGGTTTAGCTAGCTTTAAAACCAGGTTCAATCCACCATTTTCTACATAAGAAAATGCTTGTACCAAGTCAGGAATATGACAGTTGGTATCCATTCGTTTGATGTGTTTGAACTTTTGATTTTGCCATTTGATTGGGGACTTTCCTTTTTGAATTTTCCTCGGAGTTCAGTATTTTTGTGATTTTACTTTTTGATCCTATAATTATCATGTAAATTGTTTCCGTGAAAATAAATTCATTGTGAATGAAAAATGATATGAAAACAAAAAATGTACGTCTTACTTGAACTATACAGGTATCAAACTGCCGACTGTGATGTCATTATAATATCTTTATCCAATAAAAGTCAAGTATCACTCAGACTTCCTGCTTTTTACATGCATTAAGCAGTCTGTTTACCAAATGCATATTACTATTTTTTTCATTTTCTAATGACATTAAATCGCTTATCTTTATTGCTTGAAGCAAGACATCAATTTCATTTTTATTTTTCTGCATTGCTATTCTAGAAATGTGTTCTGCGCATTGCATATGCTCGTGTCTTGCTTTTAGATGAAATCTTATATAAAGTACAACTAACGGTAATAGAGTTAAGGAAAGAATGATTTCATATCAGCAGGTTATGAACTTGGAGACTGCTTTCGGTATTTGTGAACATCCTTCTTGTTTTTGTTCTCTATTTTTTTCTCATTATTAGGGTTAAGGATTTCCTGTTCTAATTTATTGTGTTTTCATTTACGAAAATATATTAGTCAAATGATCGCGAGGTGAGGGTTAATATCCTTAAAAGTCAGTGAACGTTTTTGTTGTATGGTTATTTTAGTTTTGGCGGCTGATATTTGGTAGTTATTTTTTGTATTAATTCACAACTTTATAGCTATGAATTTGAGCAGTTGAAATATATCTTATTAATTTGTTGTTGGGTAGTTACGGTATTGAAAATTATGCTACCTACATTGTTATATAGCAAATAGAATGTACAATAACTCTTTTTTTTAAATAATCCCAAAAATTGACAATTGCAAAAAAAAACATTTTAGTTAAACAGTTTTGTAACTTTATTTCAAATTGAATAAAAATATTGACCATCCAAGGCAAGTGTGAAGAACAGTTTTGTTTTTATTTGGTCTTGTTTAAATTTGATGTTTAAGTAAACGTTGTTCTCCGTTTTGTATTTACATTTAACATTTTAAAAAAGTTATTCTTAACTTGTTTATTACATGATCATTAAAACTACAGTCCCAATGATGATAGTACATGAATCAGTAATACTCTATGCAAAGCACAAAAATGTCGTCATCCACCTCAAAAGCTAACCAAACCTTTAAATAGACTTATTCAGATAAAGTTACGATACTGTTGTCAGGTCATTAAAGATGGCAGTTTTGGAATTAATATTGATTCACTCATAGGGTCTTTGCCTTGGAAATAAACACATTTATTCTAAAACCCGTTGATGTCATGATACGGGTTATGATCTTCTCGTATATTTTATGATGGTATGATACTAAACCCCTTACGGAAGGGATTGTGCTTGATTTTCATATGATGCAGACATAATCTTTCTATCAGTGTAATTGAGGTCTGGAGCTGGCATGTCAATAACTGCTAGTAGTCCTTTGTTAATTTATGTTGATTATTGTCATTTTGCTAAGTTTCTTCTGTTACCTATTCTAACATCGGACTCTGACTTCTTTTGAACTGAATTTACTGCGCGTATTACTATGTAAAATTGAGAATGGAAATGGGGAATGTGTCAAAGAGACAACAACCCGACCACAGAACAGACAACAGCAGAAGGCCACCAACAGGTCTTCAATGCAGCGAGAAATTCCCGCACCCGGAGGCGTCCTTCAGCTGGCCCCTAAACAAATATATATACTAGTTCAGTGATAATGAACGCCATACTAAACTCCAAATTGTACACAAGAAACTAAAATTAAAAATAATACAAGACTAACAAAGGCTAGAGGCTCCTGACTTGGGACAGGCGCAAAAATGCGGCGGGGTTAAACATGTTTATGAGATCTCAACCCTCCCCCTATACCTCTAGCCAATGTAGAAAAGTAAACGCATAACAATACGCACATTAAAATTCAGTTCAAGAGAAGTCCGAGTCTGATGTCAGAAGATGTAACCAAAGAAAATAAACAAAATGACATTAATACATAAATAACAACAGACTACTAGCAGTTAACTGACATGCCAGCTCCAGACTTCAATTAAACTGATTGAAAGATTATGTCTTCATCATATGAATATCAGGCACAATCCTTCCCGTTAGGGGTTTAGTATCATACCATCATAACATATATGAGAAGAACATAACCCGTGTCATGCCAACAACTGGTTTTTAAATAAATGTGTTTAGTGCCGATGCAAAGACCTTATAAGTGAATCAATATTAACGCCAAAATATGCAATCTTTAATGACCTGACAACAGTATCGTAACTATATCCCTTCTTAATAAGTCTATTTAAAGGTTTTGTTAGTTTCAGAGGTGAATACTGACATTTTGTTTATTCTACATTGGCTAGAGGTATAGGGGGAGGGTTGCGATCTCACAAAACATGTTTAACCCGGCCTTTGTTAGTATTGTATTATTTTTTTTTAATTTTGGTTCATTTATATGTTTTGGAGTTTAGTGTGACGTCCATTTTCGCTGAACTTGTATAGATTATTGTTGAGGGGCAAGCTGAAGCCCGCTTCCAGGTGCGTGATTTTCTCGCTCTGTCGAAGACCTATTTGTGGCCATGGGCTGTTTTCTGCATTTTGTTCGGGATGCTATCTCTTTGAAGCATTCCCCGTTTCAATTCTCAATTTTAAAAACAAGTTGCAACAAATTTCAATATTTGATAATACTGAATACTAGCTATATAGTATACATGTATGTTTCGAACTTTAAAAAGTTCAATGTTTAATTACATTTTTGCGATGTATTAAAACATGATCAGACAATTTATGTCGCTACAATATCATCCATCTGGAGAAATTACGACGGACTATACGGATATTTCCGTTTATTTGAAGATGTAAATGTTTTGATTAATATGTTGTACATTCATACGATGAGTGAAATTAACGGGGTGTATTTATCGAAATGTTGTTATTTTAGTTTGACAACACAACATGCCAACGTGACTGGCAAATATTCCGTTCTTTCATTTAGTAGACATTGTTATAGTGGCTTTTATGATTTGGCAGATTGTTATGAATCATAACATATTGAACACGTAGTTACATATTAATGACGACCATAACACGATATCTTCATGGTTTTACTGTGTTGTTTCTATATAAGGAAATGCATGTTCCAAAACAGGAATATGACAGTTGTTTTCCATTCGTTTGATGTATTTGAGCTTTTGATTTTGCCATTTGATAAAGGACTTTCCGTTTTGAATTTTCCTTGGAGTTCGGTATTTTTATTATTATACTTTTTTCAATGCTGTTTCATTAGCATATATCCTGCATCGCCATATCGTCTTGGTACATTTTTGGCTTGCGTTTTATTCGTTTTCAGATTTTTTGGTTAGATATACAAGACATTAAACACAATAATGGGTAATATGACTGTTTTAAACAAACATTTTGACACCCTTTTAAGTACTTTGCTATACAACTATGTTTATAATAAAACTTTATTTTTTGGTCTCCGAACGCGTTATTTATATGTAAAAAACAGAATATCAGTAGTTTTTTTAGCAAAAATTAGAACATGAAATAAGTTTGCATCTTATGGCCATACTCTATTTTTATTCACACCATATAAACTAACTACAACTGTATGCATGTTATGTTATGTAACAAAGATAAAAATTGAAGCCTTAATGCCATATGGATAACTTTCGAAAAACCTATCCCAGTTGCCAACTACAGTTACAATGAACATGTGAAGTGATGGGAAAGCATCCAGGTAGACCCTAAATGCATGAGTGATCATATATTCACCAACTGGTCAATGTTTTGTCAATTTTACAATCTGGTTGGACAATAGGTAAAGGTAAACAGCAACACCTATTATCAAGTCACAGTAAGAAGAGACGAATTAAGTTAAAAAAACAAAAGCTGATGGAATCGCATGATCTGCAATAGGAGCGAGAAAGCATCTCCTGTTTCACATGCATCACCGCCATGGAAATCCATACTCAGTGAAAATATCACAATCGACAATAGGACAAATAAGTAAAAGTTCAGATCAAACGACTTACAAATGTAACGGGTATCTGAATTAAGACGGCACAAAAAAATGTCGCTAGTGAGTTCAGACACCGAGATATCGTATCGGTCGACCAAATGGTGATGGTGACCGTAAATTTTAAGTAGAGCTTGTTTCAGTCTTTCTTCCTCATATGCTGCTTCGACATATTTTTTTTTTTGTACAAGCACACCCCTGTTAATGAAGTTTGTATATTGTGAACTTATACGACCGTTACATATTAACTGATATATGTATACACCATACAATGGAGCACAATATACGTTATTTTGGTAAAATGTGAATTTAACATTTAGAAAATTAGATTATAGTGTGAAGTTGTCTATCTGTGCTAATATCGAGGAAAAGATCAAGATATGAAACAGACCTTTTACTTTGGGAAATAACCTTAATCTCAAGTCCAATAAGTTATACTATACCCAAAAACAACATAAAAAAATATCAGCTCATTTATTTCATAATGATTCTAGTTATATAAAAACAAATAGTTATTTCTTATAAAGTTAAACAGCTGTCTTGTTAAAAGGAATTCTTACTTAAGTTAGTTAGAGACAACATGAATATTTTTATTTAAAAGTCTGTTTACAAAAAAAATTAAAGAAAAATTATATCGTAAATTATTTGCTCTAGTTTACTCGTGTCAATTGGTTGCCTTTCTACGACTTTTATTTTCTTTTCATTTATATGATTCACATCCTCCGTTTAATCTGCGCAGAAGTCAATGCTTAGAAATTGGACAAATTGTTAACAGCAAATTTCTTGAAAACTTTTGTAAAATTTTTTTTTTTCAAAGATTAACCTTCAATGCATTGGTTATATTTTGGGGGTGCGTCTGTCCTTTCTACAAACAAAAACAAAACCAAAATTCAAAACAAGAATGACAAGTGTTTTAAATGCACTGAACATAATAAAAATATTAAAAAAGGGTATTATAAAAGATATAAGTATATAATATTTTATACTGTATAAAGAGTTACATATCAGTGATAATAACAGTAGTAGAGCCTGTTGTTTCTTCCTCCATCATTCAGTGGGTGACTTCCACTGACGCTGTTTTTGTTATTTTTGTCCTCGTCATCTGATTTGACGATCTCCTCTCTAACAACCATCCCCTGTACCTGTTGGCATGGTGATTTGAAGCGTAATAAATAGAACGGTTTACTTCTTGGAAGAATAACCTCAGTTCTGTATGATTCGTCAGATCTGTAAATAATGTAAACAATGGAATAAGTCAGGATAACCATATTACATTTTAGAGATTTCAGAATTGAAACAATACACAAGTCAAAACTCTCTCTCTCTCTCTCTCTCTCTCTCTCTCTCTCTCTCTCTCTCTCTCTCGATCAATGTGGGGGCTAGAATATTAAGTGTGCGCTAATTGGGGTATGCGTATTTCTATGTGAATTGTCCGTCCTGGATATATCTTTTTATCGGCATGTGTAGCGTTAAACGTTTACTCTTAGGTGCTTTAATTTATATTCAAAATGTAATACCTGCAACAGTAGTTTATGAGAGTGTTTCTCCCATAGATTCCACTTGGAAGTACACCCCCGAATCCATTTTTATTTCTACTATCTTCATCATCCCAATGAATACTTCCCATCTTGAAGCCTAAAATAGTAATTACATCAACAGCAACATAAAGTCTTATAACTATGTTAATAATGATCATAACTTGACATTAAAGGTCCATTTACTATATATCGCATGGCTTTTTTTGCATCACAGGAGACCACTTGTTTAAGAAGTTACTTTATTTATGGTATTCCCTTTATTGAAAATCAAATTATATAGATGTTTCGGAGATTCAAATAATAAAGAATCACAATAACAGAAATTCCAAAACAATCATATATAAACTTTGGTGAAAGATAATTTGATAATTATGATATACAAGGTATAATTCAAAGACGTATGAAACAAATTTCTTGTAATTCTAATGTTATCGAAATATTTGAACTAATGCATGCATATATACTGAACTAAGTCCTGTAGGCCCGTTTTTTTAAATATGTATTATGAATCAAATAATATTTCATTCCTTGATTGTTGAACGCAAGCTAATTAACATTCGAGTTTGTTGCCGAAGTGAACTGGATCGTGACATCAACACAGAGCATATGAAGCACGTGACAAATAAGTGAATTGATAGAGTCATGATATTTTTTTATATTTTCCATGCGTTCCAATTTGTTAAATAAACTTCTGCTAACATTTGTTAAATAATTTGTTGTATCAAATTTGTTCTTTAAGAATCAGTTATTACTATTTACGTTCCAGTGCGTGTTTTTTTCCCTCAAGCTTGCGCTGTGCGCCAGCCAAAGTTATTACGAGAGGTCTCGTAGTTAAGGTCACAGCATATAGACAATTTTCGGTGAATTAGTGTATGGGAAGACAATAATTCAATAGCAGTACATTTATGAAAAAATTTTGATAATAAAAGGATTTTCTTTTACAAGAGAGTTCACGTACGTTTGTTTTATAGTATATATATCATATTAAACTTCTCTTTCAAATTTGAAGTTTGATATAGCTTTAGATGTTGCCCGTTAAAATGCATATGTTTATACATATCTATTTTTACTCAGTATGCTCACGGTAAATATATACATATACCTGGTGGACAGGATATTCCTTGTCTTAGAATACAGTAGTTTCCTCTTGGCCAATGTTGAGTTCCAGATATAGCATGTTCGTCTTTGGTGCAATAATGAAAAACCATATTTCGTCCAAAGGATCCTTTTGTTTGGGAAAACAAGTTTTATTTATTAGTTGTAATAGGCTTTGCACTAGCTTTCAGTAACTACGTGTAATATTATTTCGGTGCTGTTAGTCTTGTATGTTTTATGATTTAAGTTCATTTGTATGTTTTGGAGTTTAGTGTGACATCCATTTTCATTGAACTAGTACACATTTTTGTTGAAGGGCAAGCTGAAGCCCGTCTCCGGGTGCGGGATTTTCTCACTGTGTTAAAGACCAATTGGTGGCCTTGGGCTGTTTTCTGCTCTTTGGTCGGGTTGGTGTCTCTTTGACACATTCCCTATTTCAATTCTCAATTTTATTTGTGTCTATTGCTTTAATGTTTTTATGATTGTTGTTTTTAGCCTCGTACCAATCCTTAGAGTTAAACCAATTTCAACTGATTTTGACAGTTTGTTCTTATGTTGTGCTGTAACACCATTGTTCCAGGTTAGGGGTAGGGTTGAGCGCTCAAAAAAATGTTTAACCACGCTTAATTATTTATGTGGATGTCACAGGTCAGGAACATGTAGTTCAGTGGTTGTCGTTTGTTCACGTCTATCATATTTGTGTTTCGTAAATTGTTTTGTTGTAAACTAGCCCGTTTTTCAATTAAATTGTTTCACATTCATGTCGAGGCTTCTGATGGCCGAGTATACCGCATGAGCTTTTCATTGTTGAAGGCCGTACGGTTGCCTATAATTGATTACATCCACTTCATTTAAACTTTTGTAGAGAGTTGTCTCATTGGCAATCATCGCATATATTCTCATTTTTATACTGTTGATTAAAACATTTATTTTGTTGAATAAATTAAATATGTCGACATGTTGCAGTTATGGACTACTTTTAAAGCTGTAGTTAGGTGTATACCGATTGCATTTTATTTTATTGTAATTTGTTTTTATACTGAAACACTGTTTTTAATTTAAGTTCATATTCATAATAAGATGTTATAGCTATTACCAAAGAAATGATGTCCATATGTAATGAAGTTAGCATTTCTACTGTCTTCGTTATCTTGTTTACGCCATCCTTCCTTCCAACCAGCCGGGCATCCTGCTTTTGGTTTGACTAGTGTATAGGTACCTTTTGGCCATTGTACTAAATGATTAACAAAATTAAGTTAGTATTTGGTACCTTATTGATATCCTCTAATATTGATTAAAAAAATTAACGTTTTTTTTAACTAAATCATATTATTCAATTCAACAAGATTCCTTTACAAAAAATCGAATTTGAAAAGGCATTTAAATTCTATAAAACTATGGTGTTCAGTGTTTGTACGAGTTTCAAACTTTCTTTGTGCATCTTTTATTATATTTTACATTTTCTATAAACATATATAGCACATTAATAGATAAAACCTTTTATGTTCATTTTGCACAAGCATTTGACTTAATTTTAGGACAAACATTGTTGTTTAGGTACAATAGAAAAATATTTTAACTAATTTCCATAAATTAGGTTTTGGTATATTTTAATATAGTTACCAGCGTATGTAGATGAAACGATGAAGATCAACGTCAAGATGGACAGCATCTTTTAGCAATGAATACTTGTGTCGAGGAGCTGTATTGATTAAAAACAAGCTAACTATTACTACTACAACTATCGAGATTCCTTTTAGCAATTAAAAACGTTTTGGCATCAGCAAACATTCTGTATGTGCCAGTTCCCATTCAGGAGCATGTAATTCGTTTGTTGATGTTTATCGTATTTTTTTTACGTTTATTGTTTTGTACATGAATCAGGCCGTTGGATTTTTGTTTTCGTTTGAATTGTTTTACATCTGTCATTTGTGGGGCCTCATATACCCTGTTATGCGGTATCGGTTTTGCTCATTTTGAAGGTCATACTGTGACCTATAGTTGTTTTTTTCTATGTTATTTGGTCTCTGTTGGAGAGTTGTCTCTTGGCAATCATGCCACTTCTTCTTATTTTTTTATATTAACATAAATACGCTAGGTAAACGTGCAAAACATACAATGTAATTCATAAATTGCTTGCTTGATTATACGTCTTCTATTGATGATACAACATAAAATCAAGCCAATGGAATTGTCGTTATTTCCATCTTATTTGCTTGATTGTTTTAATTGCAAGATATGGCTCATACCAGAACCACATAATTGTAAAACTCGTTGTTCACATTAAGACAACATGGTCTCTTTAAATTATCAAGACTGTTATAAATAAATATATGTCCATGCATTTACCTGATTAAACACTTATCCGACTCCACATGATCATTGTGAACAGTGAATATGCTATATAAATGACGCGAGAACGTGTTTCTACCTCAAGGTAACAGGTACGTAAATGGATGATCTCGCGGGATTTTGTGAATTTTGAATAAAACTACAGCATGAGGAACTGCACGTGAACATCGAAAAAATTATATTTATAATTTTTATACTTTGTGAGATAAAACAAATAGAATATTCGGAAAATAGTGATACAAATGTATATATAAAGGCAATAGTAGTATACCGCTGTTCAATAGTCATAAATCGATTTTACTGAAACAAATCCGGGTCACAAACCAAATCTGAGGGAAACACATCAACTAACGGAAACAAAACGGAACAACAGAAACACTGAACTGCTACAAAAACAAACGCCAACATACATGAAAACGGACTATGTGATAACAATTGCCATATTCCTGACCTGGTACAGGAAATTTTAAGACAAAATGGTGGGTTGAACCTGGTTTTATGGCTAGCCATACCTCCCGCTTATATAGCAATGTTAAAAATACCGCTAAAATGATAACATTACGTGACAGGAACAAAGTACAAATAAATGCAAGAACACACGTTAATATCGTAAAAAAGTTAAGCAATTTTGACTTGATATTAACTTTTCTGATTATCCTGTTATACGAATTTTCTTTACAATTGATATGTTATTGCTACTGACATTTCCATTTTTGATATAAAATTCATAGGGGTCACCGAATTTGTTTTATGAGTATGAACAATTGAATCGTATTTACAGCGTGGAAAAAATCGCTGAAGGGCAAACATAATCGTGACAGCGTGGCAAGAAATGTTAGTTTTCGACGTTTTTAGATATTATAGAGACACTTGAATGATTTATGAAGCAAAAACGAATTCGGTGACCCCTTATAACTTTCATATCAATAAAACTGATTTTTAGTGGCAATAACATATAAATTTTAAAGAAAATTCGTAGAAACGTTTTTGAGAAAAGGCAATTTAGAGTCAAATTTTCAATACTGTTTTCGATATTTACGTGCATCCTTTACGTTTGTAATTCTTTCTGTAGAATATTCAATTTGCTATATATCCGAAAGTATAAAAGTTACTTATATATTTTTTCGATATTGATATGCAGTTATACAAATTCAAATTGCTTGAAAAATTTCATAAAAATCTGTGAAATTACCCATCATTGTACCTGCTACTTTGGTTAATAACAACCGAATACGGTTTTTTATTTTCCTTCGTCATTATTTTCATTATTTACAATTTAAGAAATTGTATGAGTAGTAATAGATATATGAAGATGTACAATGAATTAATTCGTGAAAAAGATGATAAAATTCACGTCAAAGAAACAATTGATACCATGAAGTTCTACTAATCTAAATTTTATCCATGTTTATTTGAAATTTTTTTTTTTTTTAAAGTTTTACTCTATAAATATGCGAAAAGAGTCCCATTGTAGATGTAAGCACTATAATATCATATGATCCTGTAATTATTACGTCGACTATTTCCATGAAAATAAATTCATTGTGTATGAAGAATGATATAGAAAAAAAAAGAAAGGTACGTCTTACTTGCAAACAGGTATCAATCTGCCGACTGATATGTCGTTATAATATCTGAAATATATGTTTGATTTCTTTATCCAATAGAATTCAAGTATCACTTTGACTTCCTGCTGTTTACATGAATTAAACAATTTGTTTACCAACTTCATATTATTATTTAATCAGTGTGTCAGCACCGTATAAAAAAAATTAAAAAAAAGATCAAGGATCAACTTTATTTTAATAACACAAAATCGCTTATCTTTATAGCTAGAGGCAAGACAACAATTTCTATCTGTTTTCCTGCAATTATTCTAGAATTAGTTCTGCATGTTGTAAATCATAATGTCTACATATACTGTTGCTTTAAGATAATATGTTGTACAACTAACATTAATTGAGTGAAGGACAGCATGATTTCATATCAGCAGGTTATGCCTTTTGAGCTTGCTTTCGATATTTGTGAACATTCTACTTGTCTATTTGTTCTCTAATTTATCTTTATTAAGGTAAAGTATTTTCTGTTCTGATTTCTATTGTGTTTTCTTTTACGGAAATGTATTGGTCAAATGATGACGATTAACAGGTGAGGAATAAGATCCTTCTTATTTGGTTTATGTTTTTGTTATGTAATGATTTGAGTTTTGGCAGCTAATAATTGATAGTTTTATTTTTCATTTATTCACCACTACATAGCTTTACAACAGAGCAGTTAAGATTTCTTTTATTTATTTGTGCCGTTAGGTAGTTATATATAGTAGCGATATTGAAAATTATGCTACATTTTTATATAACAAATAGCATGTACATGTACTACTTTCAAACATTATCCTAAAAATTGACGATACCAAAAACTCCATTGTAATTAAAAAGCTATGTTATTTGATCTGAAATCAAATAAAAATATTTAGTATCTAAGGCTCTGTTTTTATTAGGCTTTGTTTACGTTTGGTGTTAAAGATACGGTGTTTACCGTTTTTTTATAATGTATTAAACATATTCAAGTCCAATAAGTTAATGTATTTATTAACAATTAGAAGCAGAAGGGTTAACTTTGTTGTTATACGGGAAACATATGTTCATGTGTACTATAAAATTGTTATAATTTTTGCATTACAATAAGTTCCCTTAGTAAAGTAAAGATTTAATAGTTTCTTTTTATGATAGCACGGACTGGTCATTCGCAGTAACAGTTTACATTGAAAATAAGTTTTCATATTTTGACTATTCGAAGCTCAGTCTTAATGCAGTGATGTTTCTTTGTGAAATTTTCGTATTACTTTTTAAATTATTGTAACGCATAACGTTTTTTTTTCTGTAGATCTTAACAGAACATTATAAAAATTTTATTTTATAGATAGATATGAATTCTATTTATTTTATTGTTTCTTTGTAGATATCTTTGTAAGACATGTATGATGCAACGGTTTCAGTCTGTGTTTGCAAAGTGATTTTAAGACAGTTTTGTTTGTTAGATTAAAATAAAACTTTGCTGCACTCGCTTCAGCGAGCAGTTTCCAATAGATATGTGTTTTAGTGTTTGTTCATAAATACTTTATTCTAGGCAACTAATAAGAAAATTAAGCTTGTCTTGTATATTACATGATAATTACAGTGCCAACGTTAACTAAAAGATATTATTTTAAAATAAGTTGAAACAAAATTCATTTCAATAACTTATCATACTGAATAATTTTTTAAATTTTAAAAAGTTCAACATACTAATTATACTTTTGCGATGTATAAAAACATAAACCGACAAATGTTGTCGCTACAACATCATCCATCCGGAGAAATTACGGTAGGCGATACGGATATCCGTTCATTTGAAGATGTAAATGTTTTGATTTATTTGTTGATTTTGTTCACGCATGAGATGAGTGTAATTGACGGGTTTTATCTATCAAAACGTAATTATTCATCTTTTATCAGTAGAATAATCTGGGTCATAGACGACCTTGGTTTATGTTTCCCTGATCCGTCCTTATATCTACTCCCATTGCATCAATAAATGTATAATTGATTTACAGAATCATTACTTTCAATGGGTAACTACACGTGTGCAACCAGTAGAACATGTCTTCTAGCCCTTCTGGGATACATGTGTTCATTTCTTGTTTTATTTTGCATTATATTTCAGTGCTATTGTCAAACTCTGTGTTGTCTTTATCGGTGATAGTCATATTCTCTTTCATCCTGCAAACAAATCCACTTTCATTTCAATTTTTCACAATCAATCAGTTTTAAGGGGTAAGAAACGTTTACTTAGCTAAACACAGGTTTGTATGGTGTTTGTGTTCATCAGCCTTTGGTTTCCCCCGTAGTATTTTGAGAAACTATTTGTCTTTTCGTCGTTTTCTGTTTGGTCATGGTGTTTCCTGTTTTATTCGACTGATGGTTGTTTATGGTTCCCTTAGTATATTTGCCCTTGATATATTTTCTTCTAAATCTATTAATTTTTAATTGATCTGTGTTGAAGAAGAGCTTGCACATTTAAAGGACACCGTCTAATAGCATGACAGCATGATATATTGAACACACACTTGTTTATTAATGAAGACCATAAGATGGTATCTATATGATTTTACTGTGTTGTTTGAAAGTTATCTCAATAGCATCTATCCTATATTTTCACATCGTTTTGATACCTTTTTTGTTTTGCATTTTATTAATTTTAAATTTTTAGTTAGACGTACAAGACATTATACACAGTAAAAATTAAAAGGCATGTATGAAAACGCATTTTGACACACTTTTATAAACTTATCCATACATCTATGCTACCAAAAAAAAACTCGATTCTTTGGTCTGCCAAAGCGCTACATTTTGTATTTATATTAAGAAAAAGTAATATCCTTCTAGATGTTACGTTTACAAGTATTTTTATTCTATTCTCTATTTGGGTTGTATATAATATTATAAAGTTCCAGATGTTATCATGTACGTTTTGATAAATAGTAAATCATGAGACAGTTTTCGTTTCCCTTTCACTTTAATAAATGACATGGTCTTGAATAGCTGTCCATCCACATCCCCTCAATAAGATAATATTATTGTGTCGATCTATGTATCTTTTTAACATAAAGAGATGTTAAATAATAATATCTTTATTTTCAAAAGTTAATTTTTAGCTTTTTATACCAATTAGAACTTTACACAGGATCGTTTTCTATATAGAAAGATAGACAAGAGGTTGGAAATCTTAGAGGAATATTCAAACTCATAAGTCGAGGACACACTGAAAATGTTATGCCATTAAACTAAAAACGACCAAAAGACAAATAACAGTCTATAAAACACAACATAACAAACAAAAAATTGAGGGAATAGCACTAACACCAATAGAATCGAGACCGGTTGCGTCGACGTCGAAAAGGTAAGCATCTGTTTTTCACACATCACCGTCATGCAAATCCACAATTATTTTAAATGTCACAATCGGCAATAGGACACACTCGGTAAAATTACACATCAGACGACTAAACGAGCATCTAAATGAAGACTGCGAAATCATTTTTCTAGTTAATTGATAGATTGCTTGATTGTTGGTTGCTTAACGTCTAGTGGCAAATATTTCATGCATGTTCAGGATTACGCCAGTAACTTGAGATACTGATATATCGTATCGGTCGACCAATTCGTTATGGGAAAACTTATGCAGTGTAAATTTTAGTCTTTCTGCGTCATAACACTATTGGAGTAGTTATTGTGTAAAGGAGCACTTCCTGTTAATAAAGTTCGAATATTGTGGAAAACTTACACGACCGCAACGTATTAAAACTGAGATATGTAAACGCCAGACGATAGAGTTTAAGGTACGTTCCTACTGAGAAATGTGAAGTTGACATTAAGAAAGTTAGGTTATTGTGTGAAGTCGTGGTATTGTTGAGGAAAAGATCATGATATGAAGCAGACATTCTACTGTTGGTAATATCCTTAATCTCAAGTTCACTTGATTATATGAGATATAATCACTCGTTGGAAATTGGTCTGTTGAGTGTCAGAATTTCATCTATCTACATATATAATAGTTAATATATCTTTTTTTAATTGCAATGCTGCTTTTTTCTGTTTGTCTTTAGAACGTTTTGTTGACCTTCTGCTTCATATGAGTACAAAATAAAGTCGACTAGTAGTGGGGCACAACTGGTACAAAATTGAATACCGACTATCTGGGATCTATTGTGGTTCTTCACAGAGTAAGATTTCATTCATGATCTAAAACAAGGAATTTGTTTCTATGATTCCTGTTTTTGTAGAAATAACTATAACGAGATGATGAAGTCAAAATTTCAATTTAGCATGAATAATAGTAGTGTAAAGCGTAGAAAAATCACAGGTTTTGATATAATGAGAATTTTAACTGTACTATTTACATTTGTTCTAATTTATTAAAGAAAAGAACTGTTTAATACAAAACACCCAAAACTTTTCTATAATACGCTTGCAGAAAACTCAAGTACTCAATCTCGGTTTTTCTTCCGAAAAAAAAAACATTTTAAAAAGGAAGACAATTGTAAAATGTTTAAGTATTAATCCCTTTTCAGTTATTTCTACGGAGAAGAATTTTAGATATAAACATTTTATTTGAATCATTTTAATCAGTATAAAAACTATTGAAATCAAGACTAACAACTATCAAGGTTCCTTTGTTTTTGACGGAATCTTTCAATGTTCTATTTTTTTTTAGCAAAAACTTTCTTTGCATTTTGCATTCGAGAGGTAAACAAATATTCAACCCAATTGAATAATAATATTTATCGTTTTAGAAAAGTTAGATTTCATTTACTGTCAGTGTCGGATATATGATGAAAGAAGTTATGTCTTGAACAATTTACGTCTTAAACAACGTAATAAACAAATAGATGGTCTACAGTCCTTTTTTTATGTCAAAACATTGTGGCCTAGGGAAATTCTATTTACTCAATATAAACTCGTACTATGCGAATTTCCATTTTGATTAGTCACATGCTACATGAACTGTAGCACAAAGATGTGTTTCGTCTGTGTGTAACTTTGATAGTAGAAAAAAATATTGAAAATTTAATTGACAATTCTTAATCCCGAATATTATCAGTCGTT